TATATAACATGATGTATAACGAATATATAACATTTGAATATAATCAGTCAAAGCATTTAAGAGATATGGCTCTAGAAGCCCAATCATTAAAACAAAATGGCCGCAAGTCAGCCATTTTGAATCCAATCTGAAAAATAAAATGACATGTATCAGGAACCTGTAATGTCTAATGTATGTTATAAGTTTGAACAAAATCCATCCATAAATGCAAGAAATGCTTGATATTTGAGGATTTGAGCACAAAAATAGCCACCATTTGGCCACTTTGAAAAAGATCGTCATACCAATATAGCCGTATATCGTATCGTAGCCATTTTGATTCTGATCTGAAAACTAAAATGATGTGCATCAGGAACCCGTAATGTCTAATGCACATGTATGTACCATATTTGAACGAAATCCATCCATAAATGCCAGAAATGCTTAATATTTGATGATTTTTGAGCACAAAAATGACCACCATTCAGCCATTTTGAATAGGATCGTCAAACCAATATATATGCATATCTATGACATGATGTATAATAAATATTTAAAATTTGAACATAATCAGTCAAAACAAGTCAGTGATACGGGTCTAGAAGCCCATTCATTAAAACAAAATGACCACCATTCGGCCATTTTGAATAGGATCGTCAAACCAATATATATGTATATCTATGACATGATGTATAATAAATATTTAAAATTTGAACATAATCAGTCAAAACAAGTCAGTGATACGGGTCTAGAAGCCCATTCATTAAAACAAAATGACCACCATTCGGCCATTTTGAATAGGATCGTCAAACCAATATATATGTATATCTATGACATAATGTATAATGAATATTTAAAATTTGAACATAATCAGTCAAAACAAGTCAGTGATATGGCACTAGAAGCCCATTCATTAAAACAAAATGGCCGCCAGTTGAATGTTATCTGAAAAACAAAATTATTTGCATCAAGGTCCCATGTCTAATGTATATATCAAGTTTGAACAAAATCCATCTGTAAACAGCCGGGAAATGCTTGATTTTTATGATATTTTAGCACAAAAATGGCCACCATTCGACCATTCTTAATAGGATCGTCAAACCAATATATCTGTATATCTATGACATGATGTATAATGAATATTTAAAATTTGAACATAATCAGTCAAAGCAAGTCAGTGATATGGCACTAGAACCACATTCATTAAAACAAAATGGCCGACAGGAATCTTATCTGAAAAACAAAATGATGTATCAAGGTCCTATAATGTGTAATGTATATACCAATTTTGAACAAAAATCCATCTGTAAACAGCCGAAAAATGCTTGATTTTGATGATTTTTAGCACAAAAATGACCGCCATTCGGCCATCTTGAATCAGATCATGAAACAAATTGACGTGCATATGTATAATATCATGTATGATTTATGTGTGAAGTTTGATTGTGATTGGTCCAGGCAATTCTAAGATACAGGTCCGGATACACGCACGGATGCACACACGACGAACACAAGGACACACGGAGGTCAAAACATAAGTCCCCGTTTTCGGACTGCGTCCGAACGAGTAATTATAACTTTGGGATCACACTCAAGCTGAGTAGAATGAATGATGTTCAAGATTTTTAATTCAAGATACGTATTCAAAAAAAAAAACATTTTTTTTGGTATTTGCCAGGGCTACGGTGAGCCAGTAATATTTTTTAGATTTCACGACCTAACTAGAGTGAAGATGTGACCTGCCTGTCAAGTTTGAACAAAATCGGCCCAGCCCCAAAAAAAAGAAGAGCTAATACGTGAAGACACATAAAATCACACACACAAAAATGATTTTAAGGGCAATCCTTGCGGAGCAGAATGCCAACATGTTTTTCAACCACTACTGCCCCCTGGTTCATCTTAATTATTAAACATGTACCTGGGCAATGTAGGGCAGTGTCAGTGACTTCACAACTCTATCCAACCATTCACATGCAATACAGTAGACCAATTAGTTGAGCACACATTTTCAGTTGATTGCCAACACATATTTGCATAATAAATTTCACATCATGGTTTGCAATATTTAGCTGTTAGCAATGAACAATTAGAGAATCAAAGATATCATCACGAAATGAACAATTAGAGAATCAAAGATATCATCACGAAATGAACAATTAGAGAATAAAAGATATCATCACGAAATGAACAATTAGAGAATTAAAGATATCATCACGAAATGAACAATTAGAGAATCAAAGATATCATCACGAAATGAACAATTAGAGAATCAAAGATATCATCACGAAATGAACAATTAGAGAATCAAAGATATCATCACGAAATGAACAATTAGAGAATCAAAGATATCATCACGAAATGAACAAATCTGAGTGAGGTCCACCTGTAGTATCAATATGTTTAATAAGCCCTGTCAACAGCGGCGCTAAATGTCTGAGACAAAAGCACTTGGGGTATTTTCCTGGAAATTATCATTTTTTTAAGTTGAAAAGTTGATTTTGAGAAACAGTAATAATCAGTAATATAAATAGCTCTAATTTAGCTCAGATAAAAAAAAGTGTCCAAAAAATGTAATGCTTATGAAAAACAAACAACTTACCAGCAAACCAGAAAGTAATAGCTTGACAGCCATCAATAGTGTTCTCAATATCTCTTGTCGCTATGACTTGCCACATGTCAATGCCACAGAATGCAGACACTTCCTTTCTAAAGTCATATCTAAAAATTATTTGAATATAAAAATCAAAGAAAGTCTGTGTGCTATAGGTATTGGAGGCATGAAGTACAAATACAGGTAAGGAATACTGTAAATATAAGTGCATCCATATAGTTCTTGATAACATAATGGTTCCTGAGATGTCTCTGAAACAGAAGGACACATACATACATACACACTAACTGCAAAGGTGAACAAGTTTAAAGTACATATATGAACGTGTGAATTGTTGATAAATTTGCAATTGACTATTGTATGTTACTTACGCATTAAATTCAGCAACCAATGAGGCAAAGCCTAGGGATGCTTGTGCAGCAGTGTCTGTTGTTGGTTCAATAGTTTGACATGATGGCACAGAGCCATCTGATGGAGTCAGCATAATTGTACGTCCAATCACTAGAAATAAAATTATCCCAGATTTCAAGTAACTTGCATTTACCAAATCAATGCATTTTGTGAAAAATTACAAATGTCACCATGGCGATGACAAACACAAACCTGATGCATCTCCAAATAATGGAATATTAGAGTCTGTGAAAAGGACACGTCTGGTTCCAGGATAACCATGCCGACCACTTAAGTCACCAACTTGACAATGAGAGTGATACAATACACTGCATAATATGTTGTAATTGTCCTATAGTGAGGAAATCAGATTATTTCAAACAAGTTTTAGAACCAACATATATCATAAAAAAACTATATAATAAGAAGTAAACGCAGCCTTACCTAAAGCTA